GATATTTGTCAGTGCCTGTTCAGTGTAATTACTGTCAGAGCTGGGAACAGTTCTCCTGGCTACTAGGTTTTGCTCTGTCCACTAGATCAGCTTGTCTCTATTGTAATTTGTGAACTAAGAAATGTCCTTTTATAAATGCTTCTAGTACATTTATGGGATAACCGTACATTAAACTATATTCCCTAGTGTTGATGTATCCACCCTTGAGTAATTAGTGCTTGTACATTATAGTCAGATCGTGACTGGGTGTTCATGGTTCTGTTGTACTATGATCTGAAGGGCTGTCCTTTATGGGGGAGTGGTATTTCCTTGAGCTTTCACTAGCCCCGTGAGCACAGAAAAATTGTTGCTGGAGGATTTCCCAGGAACATGTGGTCCTGTGTCTGCCTGTTTCCTCAGCTGGAAAATTCATTTCACAAGACGAATAATTGAGCTATGGGGCAAACTGTGGAGCAAGCAGCTGTGCTTTATGCAGTTTACAAATAGTTTTCCATTTTTTCTTTTTCCATTTTCAGCTACGTCATTTGTTTCCCAGAACACAGGGATTGGGAGTTCTGTGCAGACAGCCCACTTACTCCACGGCAGGGAGAAATCCACACATTGTTCTGAAGCAATATGCTTTCCATCCCACTTGACATTTGGAAAGAAACTCTGATTTTGAAATGCTGTCTATTGAAAGTAGTTGTGCCACAACTTAGTCTAAGGACCATTGAAGTCAGTGGGACTACTGCCTAAAATATATCTCATGCTTAAATATCTTGCTCAATCAGTCCTCAAATGAAGATTGTCTCCCCAAATATATAAAATACAGTAACAAAATTAAGTCAGTATCATAAATTTTAAAACAGTTAAATAGTTATTTACATGATAGGCCACACTGGCCCTTTTTGGAGATTTAAACATTTTTTTCCTAGCATTGTATCAGAGCTTACACATATTCTTAAGAGTTTTCCCCCATTGTTAATAAACAACCTCTGAAATAACACTAAAGATGATCATAGAATCATAGAAGTAGGGTCGGAAGGGACCTTGTAGATCTTCAAGTCCGATCCCCTGCCTGAGCAGGAGAGAAACTGGGCTCGAGGGACCCCAGCCATGTAGGCACTGAGCCGCTTCTTAAAGACCCCCAGAGTAGGAGCCAGCACCACTTCCCTTGGAAGTTGGTTCCAGATCCTAGCCGCCCTAACTGTGAAGTAGTTCCTACGGATGTCTAATCTGAACCTACTCTCCAACAACTTGTGGCTGTTATTTCATGTTATCCCGGGGGGCACTGGGGAAAACAAGGTCTTCCCCAAACCCTTTTGGTCCCCCCTAATGAGTTTATAGATGGTCACAAGGTCCCCCCTCAGCCTTCTCTTGTGAAGGCTGAACAGGTTCAGATCCCGTAGCCTCTCATTGTAGGGTCTGCCCTGCTGTCCCTGGATCATGCAGGTGGCCCTCCTCTGAACCCTCTCAATGTTGTCCACATCCCTCTTGAAGTGGGGCGCCCAGAACTGGACACAGTATTCCAGCTGTGGCCTGACCAGTGTTCCATAGAGGGGGAGGATCACCTCCTTGGCCCTACTCGAGATGCACCTGTCTCCGTGCTCTCAAGAAGGGAGTTTCCCATCTTATAAGTGTGTTGCCGGTTACTACTGCCGGCACCCTGCACTTGTGCATATTGAAACGCATCCTGTTTTTGTCAGCCCACCCTTGCAACCTATCCAGGTCTTTCTGCAGTCTTTCCCTCCCTACTAGCGTGCCCACCTCACCCCAAAT